CAAAAAGGGATGTCGGATATTTTTCATATAGGCCTATATTTAAGAGGAGTAGAAAGTGGCACAAAATATGTTTCTAAGAAAAATTCCATTCATGACCCCTTTAAATCAGTGTTTGTTTTTGTATGAGGTGTCGGAGTACAGTAGACAGAATCAATTCGTCGCAGCGTGAGATTCGAAAACACAATGTTTTCAACTTGAGTTAAAATGTTGGGACCTTTACCCATCCAATAGTCCTTTATCATGCTGCCACCATTTTAGTCATGTTCCCAGTATCCAATAACAGTACTGAATGATAATGTTTTTGTGCAAAAAGGAACCAGACTATTTTTTCTTCCAGCCTCGCTTTGGTTACATTGATCTGAATGGGAGAAAAAATATAATTGCTGCAACATGATAATGGTCTATAGGCCTGTGCAGTATAAGCGAAACGATAAAAAAAGGATTGGGTGTTTTTTTTGAGGAGTGGACGTTATATTATTCACACCGAACGTTAAAACACGAAAACACACGTTGGAAAGAAAATCACGAAGTAGGCTTACACGTAAACCCAAGGGCTACTATTGGAAACGAGGTTGAAAAAAAAAGTAGGCCCTGGACGAGGTTGGACAATGCGATCAACAGTCGTCAAAGCGTCAGGTCAGGGAACCGACTACGTGTACATGTATATCTCAAGTACATGTACATGTACATGGAGTCTGTATAGCCCCAATATAAATAGGACCTACCGCGCAACCGTACCGTTTCGAGTGTAGGCACGGATCGTTTTGAAGTGGGTCTTCTCGTGGAAAGCCGAGAAACACCTCGAGGATATTTCAAGAGAGGTTGAGTCCGATCAATTCCGTGGTAGAACAAAGGTCGTAATTATGGTCTTTGACATATTTATCCCGCAGCCCACTGCCTATATATACGGTACTAGAAGGTTCACTATATTGATCGCGGCGCGGTCGTTCAGCCCTCGGTCAAGAGCAATGAAGAGGCGGCGGTGGCATGGTGCAGTTTTCCATGTAAAAGCCCCTTTGGACATGACAGACGAGCTGGACAATTTCTGCCTTTAAAGCGAACCTTTTTTTCATAATTAGGTTTTAATGCATCATAGCTCGATCACCGGGTGAGCGGCAGTTTATGTGGAGAGGCTATTGGAACTCGGCCATCCACATTGACGTTCTTGCCTTTAAAGGAAGTTCTGCTCGAAAAGACGTCACAATTTCTAAAGTCGACTCCGATTGGCTGGCGCGAGGTGTGGCGTAAAATTTGCATGCACATATTAATAGGCCTATCACACATTGTTGCGGAGCTTGCGGGCTCCGTGGATGATACCCAGACTTCCGCTTTGCTTCATCTCTAAATTAGTGTTCAAGGTCATACAGGGCCAGCCTAGTGTCATCTTTGTATCTATCTCGCTGACAGACTGACAGTCACTTGCACAACCGGGCAGTGCTGTCCTATAGGATTACCGTGTAACGCCAACGAATGGGCTTAATCCGGCCCATTGTGTCTATAGACCATAGCCATTAAAAGACTTCTTAATAGCCACTTTTAATCAATCGAATGAATAATTGAGCAGATTTTTGTGCACTTTGGACCGTTTTTTCTGAGGCTTGCCCTGTCTTGCTGTTTTCAATTCGCATATAAATTCCTTTTTAAGTACGTTTCTTTACCTTTTACAAAACCAAATCAAATTTACAATCTATTCCCAGTCTCAAACTGAGTAGATGTAGTGTGTATTTTAAACCATTTGCCGCACACGATGTTTGCATTCAGGATGTAGGCCTATATAGGAGTTTGGAAGACTCCCGCAAATTTGCAAAATATCGCTGCCTTTATGTCAACTTTCACACTACATTGCACCACAAAAAAAAGAAAAAAAATAAGTGTGCAACCACATGCATGGATCGAAGACTTGGAAGCACACACATATCGCTGCGTTTGTGTCAAGTTCACGCTGTATTGCACCACATAAAAGAAAAAAAAATGTGTCCGACCACATGCATGGGTTGATGCTCACAGGTATACTGAGAATCTATCACACATGGAGAGCGTGCGTTCATTATTGGTGTAGCATATTCGCCCCAAGCGGAATATCGTAATGGGAATCCTAACGTGTTGATTCAAACATACCGGCATCCAGCTGGATAAATGACCGCCGTCCAAATTTATGGGTGGAATTCTATACGAAACGAAAACGATGTTATAGACCTGAATATCATTAGTCTATGTACTATTTTTGTTTTGCCCTTAGGGCCAATTTTTTGGAGTTCGCCCCCAATGTTTAAACAAATTGTAACAATTGTTGTTGTTGTTGTGTCCTTATTTACATAATTGATTTGTGTGATTTCCACTTCTATGCTACCTATAGTTTAAAACATGTTTCTCTTGATTGTATTTCTCTCACATTGTCATTTCGTTTTACGTTGTAAGCCACTGTGAACTATTGAACTTGTTAGGTTTAGTTACTCCAATACATTCTAACGTGATATTTCTTCCACTGCAAACAACGGTGTTGTCTATAATAGAACACCGGTGTTATCTATAATAGGAATACAGATATGAACGTTTAACAGTTAAACGTTCATATCTGTATTCCTATTTTAGATAACACCGGTGTAAAATTTACACACCGTTGTTTCTGGAGTGTCGATTTTGAAGTTGATTTACAGTAAACAACTCATTCAGATTTTGTTAACATATACGTCGAATATGAACTGCAGCATGAGTGTACTACAAAGCCATTGGAGCGTTGCTGAAAGATTGTCAGTTTTGACTGATCTTAGTGGTGAAATAGGTCACATTCATATACACTCTAAAAACAGCTTAGTCAATTGACTGGTTTTCCTAGTTGTTGAAAATGGACCAGGAATTTAGTTAAACATGCAAAGTTTCATACTATGACTAGAAAAAGTAGTTGGGTGCGACTCCAATGTCAGTTATTTGCATAACTATTTTTCCAAAGTCAATAATACTGACTGAAAAAATGTAGTCAGATTGACTGATTTTCAATTCCACCCAGCTGACCCTGAATGGCTAGTCAATTTAAACTGGTTTCCAGTCAAATCTGACTAATGCTGTTTTTAGAGTGTACAGCCTTCTTTAAACAATGGAGAGATCCACCACAGGTGAACTGATGGCATCATCTCAAAAGGATTTTTTTTCTATAGCCAAAAATCACGGGTGCGTGTTCGAAATGCCGGAACAAACCAACAAGACAATTCGCGCAAACGACATAAAAGATAAATGTGGGGGAAAATCCCCTTTAAAAAAATCTCCGTTAAACCGCAATGCCCGCACCACTATAATAGGAATAGTCCAAATGGATGTCTATTTATGCCTATGATTGAAATAGGAAAAACACCAACATAAGAATGCATTCAAAAATCTTGTTTCAACTATTAAAATCAGTAAAAAGCTATCATTTTTGTGGGTGATAAATGAAAGGCTTTCGAGGGTATTATTAAAAGATGTTGGCGATGCACGACTTTCATAGAATCCAGTCATTTTATGTGGTCCGCGTATAAAAGAAAGTATGCGTGTCAACACCCACAATGCTGCTATGGTAATGTCATCACAGCCAAACAGAATTAATTAATGCGAGGAGAAATGATATGGACAGGACGGAACTCATTCTCCCCGTACATGGAAAAGCTCTCTGAGTTTGTTTTTCCGCCCTGCAGCGAAATCGTGCATGCAACAATGCCCCTATGCGACGAGTGATATATTACACACTTGTTGCTGCCAGGACCTCGCAATTAATAAGTCTGTTTTTCTTTGTTGGGGGGGGGGGGGGGCTTGGGTTTTGTAATGTCCGTTTACCGAAGCCTGTATTGCCCGGTACGTTTGAGAGGAAAGAGCTCGTACGAATATACGTGGGGTTGATGAATTCTCGCCACGTCTCTTGCGCTGATTAAACGTCGATTTTGTTTTCAGTCTCTCCCCGATTTTCTTTAATATAAGGACAATTAATTCTACAAAATCAAGCGGCGCACTTGAGAGTGTAATCCGGTTCAACATCCCAAGTATAGAATCTGCTTATGTATTCGGAACCCTTATGTTTCACAATTCAATCAAAGAAAAGATAAAAGATTTCGTGCATGTGTCCACAATTCACACGAAATGCGATCAAAATTTAATAAACAAAATATCTAAATGTCTTCATTTTGAGAGCGTCATTTTTGCGCGTGCAATATTTGATACGGTGGCATTTATTTTTTTTATTCAAATCAATACTGAATCTGTTTTTTGTTCTGGACTTTGGGTAGTTGTATGTTCTGTTTTTAAACGATGCAGATGGCCATGTCCATGAAACAGCCGTCAAGACAGTTTCCACGTTCGCGGGCGTCTTAAAATGGTATTAATTCGAACTTCGTAGCCCAGCAACAGAAGTGTATCACTGAAATGGCACGCACTTGTTTGTTTCCAAGCATCCAAATGCTGCCTGTAAACCGTTAAGGCCTTGTTTCTCTTATGTTCCCGAAGTTTATTTTGATGAAACAGATTTTCTACTCAATAAAAATCTGACAGAATTTGAAGTTCAAGTGGGGTGATCTTAACTCGCGCCTCCGCCCACGACTTGCTCTCAGCAGCCCACACAAAACCGTTTATTCAGACCTTATCTAAACTGAAATTGCGACTGACATCGCAAAAATGTCGTACCATATGAACATCAGTATGTGGGTGTGGAAACTAGAGACAAAATTGAGGAAACACGGGGACTTTCTTAACAGCGGAATATAAATGAAATACTGAAAGCTACTACAATAGACGCTGTTCCGGTGTGAATCAGTTCTATTGCAGGCACCATGTCACCGAACAACCAGGGTTTTCCCATCTAAAAACGCGGTTGCAAACTCCGTCTGTTCCCCGTCTCCCCAAAGCATCACATGCCGTGCACGGCGTAAGCCGGAGACCGTACTATCCACTTGACGTGAATGCAATGGTATTCGTGCAGCCAACCATGCTCCGTGGTTGTGATCGTGACAATGGAAGTTACTCAGTGCGATGACAAAAAAAAAAAAAATCATCAGTGAAATAATCGAGGTTATTGCCAGGGGGTTTACCCAGTCACGTCATTGTCGAGTTTCGTCGGACACAAAAACGGCACGATCGCCCGAGCACGATTTATTAGCGTGAACTTCCGCATAGTGGGAAGACTTCAATGCTCGGCGTTTGACAGGTAGGGGCTTGCGCAACTAGAACTCTCTCGTCCGATGCGAGTGCCGGTGCGAGATCGCAACACTCTGCAGCTCTCCACGGATCATTTTGGCGTCATTCATCTTGCACTCAAAAGGTGTCTTGTGTAGCTAGCTGTGCAGTTTATCTCATCTTCCTCTTGAAACAACGACGGGAGTCTACCGTTTCCACCACTCTAAGTTCGTCATGATGGTGAGTATAGACGTTAATCAGTCGCGCTCGGATAGCCGGTAATTGAAAAAAAACCCGTAGATGTTTCCTTCATCAGAGGATCATTTTCCAAGTGTGATGAAGGTTCACATTGACGCCTTGGGCAACATGTATTCTCCATCATTGCCTGGAAAATCTTGAATGCATAACGATCGCGGGCAACGTTCCAATCTCACCCAAATCGATATGGGTAATTCAATCTTTACCTAATAAATTTGCAGCTGGTCGACATGAAGTCTTCCTCGGAGGTCTGGGACATTAAATTAAAGACCCTCGCTTTATATAAGCATCTCAAAGTCTGTTCTGGGTTTTGTGGTTTCCATTTCATCTTAATTTCAGACTTTTACCATCCAGCAGTAACTCATCATGGCCCAATGATGTGATGACCAGAAATTATTGCTCCGTCAATCTTAGGTGTTAAACGAAAATCAGCTTGGAATCAGACATTTTGCTTATAGGAAATAATTTGTGCTTAATTCAATTTCAATGTATTAGTCAATGTGTACCAGGCTTAATACTTACGTCTCGCCTGGTAGTCATTTTACAACGTCACTTTCGACCTTGGCACATAACTTTGTGTCATCCGTATGGCGCCAACTTCTGCAAATGTAAAATACAGAACTTCTAAAATCTCCAGCAAGCATGCACTAAACCAGTAGCGACGACGTTCGTTGTACAGGGTGTCCCCAAAAAAATTGTGCAAGCACATATCCTTTAATTTCTCAAAAACTACTCAACATGAGTGTTTCATCTCGATGGAGCATATTAATTATACTCTTGTGTATAATCAGTGATATCAGTGCATCAGATTATCATAGACCTTTTCACTCTGATGTTAATTAAGTTAACTGTGTAAATCCCATCCCATTGGAACGGGTGAAAAAAAACCTTTTATAATCTATTAGATCTCTGGTTTGCATGAACGGATTTCCATTGCATTTTTATTGGAAATACACAAGAGTTTTCCACGATGAAATACTCATGTTAAGTAGTTTTTGAGAAATTAAAAGATATCTGCTTGCACAACTGTTTTGGGGACACTCTTAGAGGGGTACGTATATTGTATGCACGAAATTAATCAAACCACAAATTATCTTTGCAAGAAAAATTACTATCATTGGTAATTCTTATGAACGCACAATCTGATAAGGTAAGCCTGGAGCTCAACATGGAGGCTTGTAAACGAAGTGCGATGGCATTGTGCCGCATTTGAAAGTAATCATAGGCCCACTGCACCAACACTACATTATACATTTAATGTTCACGCATTATTAAAAGCATTGAGTAAAACATGCACACCAAGAAAAGACGTACCAATTATACAGTGAGTTGTGAATTATTATTCTGTCAGCCGTTAGCAATAATTTGAAGAGGTTCCGTTGTAGCTGATTTGTGCTCTTGGGTGTGACACCCAGACAAAAAAAAATCTAATCGAATTTCCATTTTTAGTATTATATTAGATAAGTCATGAGCACACAACATGGCACACACAAGCCCATGATTAATAATGCATTAGTGCATGCATACATTAACACACACGTCTGATGTTATGAATCTCTGTTTGATTGTACACCGTAGTTGGTAATAACGTGAATGAGTTTATACTGTAGGGAATAAGATTGGGTTTTTTTTTAGATCGTAAGGCAAAAGGGCCGTATTAAATTATTATCATTTTGATTTTCATGAAAAATTGGTAAGCTCTTCGAGACCCCTTTCCCAAAAGCACTTTATTTTTTTTCTTCTAAATAACGGAAGATCAACGACACCAGAGAATGGCTTTGAACACTTTACCACTTCACAACCATGCAAATTTTCAATTTGCATAGGCCTACAGACGAGGATGCAAGAGAAAGCTTTCAGCTGATTTGATTATGCTGTTTGTTTTTCTGTTTTGTGGTTTTTTTCCTGATTAGAAAACTAGAATGTTATTAGGATCGATTGGGGTGAAGATTGTATGTCTTATTTTCAGGATTTGGTCTCATGTCCGAAGACCTTATTACGGAAGCTTAAAGTGACCACCCACGCTTCCGCGTTTCATTGATAATGTCGTAATTCTTGGAATGAATTCAACAATAGCTTGGCAATTATACTCTGAGTTTTGATGGGTTTGCATTATCGAACTCGAGATAACAATCTCGTCAAGATTAATCCGGACTCATCAGACTATAGATGAGGGGAATCGGAAAACAGAAGGGACACGGCTCTTCCCCAACCGGATATCATTTTGCCTTGGGCTTATTTAACCGCCGCCATTACTAAATTAAGTTTGTTTATATTGCCTTGAATTAGGCCTATGTTGCTGTGGGGATGAGACAGCCATTTCTCTCATACGATACTAAAACATTCTGCTAATGACGGTAGGCTATCAAAACTCGGGATGAATGAACTATTCCAGCCGTGTTTGACAGTGAAGCCAACGGCGAGCATCTAGCGTGACGGGAGAGTGCAGGACTACAGCACCGAGCCATTGCTTGTAATTACCCCGGGTGATTTGGGGATATTTCCCCCGGTTCATCCAGGCGAGCAATCGGCAGCCGCAGCCAATTGATTTAATGACTTTGTGTTTTTTCAACAGGCTTAAGGGCGGCACGAGTCCATACATATATACGGGTAGAGGGACTTGTGTGTTTGAATACCTACCAGCACGATAGCGTGAGGTGCTTGAACATGCCAGACCAATCTTGTTGAGATGATGTTTGCAATATTGAGTCCCTGGAAAGCTACCAGGGATTAAGTTGATCACGACTGACGAACCACGCCTTCCTACCGAAAAACATTTTCATGAATGTCGCATAATGTCTTCTCTTTCTGTTGTATGTTAATGTCCGTGTCGTGTGTTTGGAAACGTTTCAGACAGTGTGCGTGTCCCTAATGATTACTTTAATGAGCCTTACCGGAATAGAGTGTAGCCTGAAAACATTGTATCGTGACCACCCCCTGGCGATTTCTTGATGTTCAAAACCTAAATGACTCATTTCTGAGAAAATCAAAGCTTGATAATAGTTACGAGATGCCCCATATTTGGCAACACTTTGGAAAAGTCAACAAACAGGTGATGGGTAGGAATGTATATTCTGGAGTCCTCAATGTGTCGAATTCTGAAGTTACGTGGTGAAAATGTCAGAACAAGAACAGAGGAATAAGCCGCAAATTTAAAAACATTCGGTGGGAGCATCAACCCACGAAACAGCTGTATTTCAAAAGCTTCAATGGTTAGGAAGCTTCAAAACGTTTCAGTAAGTCTATTCCCTCTTCACAAATACACGAGTCCTATAAAATCTGCCTTACCTAGCTACTGGGCCATTTTATCACGCATTAGGGCCGACAGTGCTGTGTAATAGTGCCATTTTTTAATCATCACGCAGAAAAATGGACGCTAAGTGTAGACTCGGCGGCGACACTGAATTGGACTAGACTTGACCAAGTCATGCTCGCAGTCAGTGTCAATTTATATGTAGGTTAGGGTAGATGGTTACGCGTATTAAGGGCCATTTCATAGAGTTGTTGTACAGAAATATCGGACACTGTCTTAAGTCCAAAGATTAAAATTTCACTCTTTTTGAGTGAAAATTCTCGGGACAAAAAAAACCGTAGGGATGATACAATTTAGAATGAAATTCATGCTATCGCGTAGATGGTATGTTTACTCGAGTTTCCACCGGACTAGTAAGTCGTGTTCAAAGTGCCCCATCAAAAATATTAGAGTGAGTTTTTCACCCCAATAGTTTCACTGTAATAAGACAGCGTTAGTTTTCCCTACTTCCGACCGCAAAAAAAGGCTCCAGACTTCTACAGCTGCGAATGTGTAACTCAAATATTAGCCGGCTTTGTATCTGCATCTGCATCAATACTGCTCAACACTCCTTGTTGCATTGCAGTTGGAGTAAACCGTGACGTACGTAGCGGTACCTGCTCATTTTGCATTGGGAAATGTTTTCAACTCTGCTGCGGCACAGTTCAAACAACTCGATCCGATTCGTGTCTTGACCAAGCTTGAATGACAGACCCGTCATAGACATTGAAAGTAGTCCGCGAAAACAAATAAAACCTGAGAATTCGTGTTATGGCAACAAGCAAGGCACCCGTTTCGCATTTTATGGCGTAGGCCTACTTGAATTCCCCACATCAAATGCGCAGCCGATGTGGATTTTACTGTACACGCGAACGTACACGAATCTGCTCGAGTAGTATTCGCTCTTTTCACGCTCCACCATTGGGCATGCAGAGCCTCGATCTGGCAACTTTACACAATAAAAATAGCCGGTTCAGTGATCTGAGCCCCGACACGGGAATCACCGAACCGGCTATATTTACTGTGTAAAGTTGCCAGTTGGCGAAAGTGTGAAAAGAGCGAATTATGATTATTAAGTTCAGAACAACGGTGCTGTTCATTTTCGAATAATGTATTATTCAGTTATTCAAATTCGGATTCGATAGATTATTATTTTGATTGTGTACGTCGATATACTTCTCTTTTTTTAGGAAGCTGATGATAAGCTGATATTGAAAGATTTTTAAAATGCAATTAGAGCTAATGATTTCCTACAAAAGCTCTCAGTCATGCGTGTAAGGTGACTCGACCACAACGTAGCATTTGCAAGCAATAAGACCTCGTAAATTACACGATTAAAATAGCAACACGGACGTTTTCCTTCATCTTCCCGAGAACGCTCTCATTTTTTTTCTCGAATATATTCGAATTGGAAAAGTACTACTCGGATATTCGGTGATAGATGATTTAGAATGAACGAAAATTCAGTCTATTCGGCAGAGCATTATACAACCAAACGAATGACACACAGCACATATCATCGATACGGAACATATTAAGTACCTGTCAGCAAACATGCGGTGGAAAGTCAACAGTGGTATAAATCAAGTTTCTATTTTAATATCTCCGATTGAATTTCCATGCAAGCTCGATAATGTTGAAAGATGCCACTTCGGCCGAATGCGCTTTTTTAGCAAACGTATATGCAAAC